GATGGACTCCAGGGGTAAATACTAAGTGCAGAGTGCCAGCAGATATTTCCGGGCATAAAGCGAAGAAGCTTCCCAAAGCAGACAGAGAGTTAAGGAAAGAGGATTCTCAGTTCATTTTCACGAGTCAGGGCATCTTATTCCGGTTGGTTCAGGTAATTATCCTATTTCCTTGCGATCGAGTTTAACTCCTGTTTTATTATTGTTGTACTTCTTGATAGCATGCGCACCGAAAATCAATATTGAATGTTTTTCAACAGTTAACAATTGCGTCACCAAGTTGTATTCATTCAGTAGACTCCCCCCTTGTAGACACGCCCTGCAGTTAGCTAGTATCAGCCAGGCGAGGGGAGTTGTAGTACCATTAGTCATAGTACAAATTCAAATAAAATAATTTAATTAGTCATCTATCATTTAGTTATGTTCTAGTTCATTTGTATTTCAGTTCTATTTTTGATATTTTAATAGTTTTGCTTTGAAAACATTACAGATTATGCATTGTATGTAGACATGTCTCTGGTTCTTAGTTTGTCCTCACCAAGAGACAAAGTGAATATGTATTTAGAGTCAAGAGATGTCAGTTCCATTCGCCTTGTACTTTCTACTCCGTAGAATGAAGCCTCGGAGCGCACTAAGCGTTACAATACCAATAAAGGATGACGTATGATCACCACTTGCCTCGATGAACTAGCTCTCAGACAACCTGATGAAGTACTTGATTGTTTAGCAAGATCGAGATTTAAAAGCGTGGATGATAGTCTTGACTACACTTTGCTTGAAGCTCTTTGTGAGTGTTATAAGAATGCAAATAACTGATCCAAAAAGGCGACAAGTGCTGTCCATTCTGGTAGGTAAAATAGGTTTCAATGATCTGAAAAAATGGATACCAGACCTGACGTGGTACAGAGTTAACATTGCTCGACATCATTGACTACTCTATGGCACGCCTGGAAATATTTACTGGCACTCTGTATTTAGGATTTCCCCCTCGAGTTTATCCAAGACCAAGTCTTGAGCGATGAAATGGGCAAATTGTCCATGTATCAACATCGGTGGGTCGTTGGAAAACAGCTGCTGTATTCAATATCAAATCCTATTCGATGAACACACCAGTGAATGAAAAATGAGCCAAATGCCCTGCTATTTCCTTGTCACACGATAGCAAAGGTAATATTCGCCTATTCCCTTTTCTGTCTTTTGGATTGTAGCCACAATAATCCATAACAAGAGATCCAAATGAACAAAAAATTTCCAATCTTCAAAATATTTAAACTAAGTTCTTTACTTGTTGCGTTTTATCAGATGAAATTAACTGTGACGNAATGATTTGTAATTGTAACTTTAAATTATTTGTATATGTTTTTATTTTTATCTTTTCCTTTGTAATTGGCACTGAAAAGCCCCTTTGGGGAAGTGGTCAATAAACGTATGTGTATGTGTGTAAAAGTGGCGTTCAGGCGTCAGCGACGTGACCACGCGAACGTCATGACATGCGCAGTATGTACATAGTTCTCTAATGACTGCCGGTAGGCGTTCGTGACCTCAAGAACGTCTGGTGCTTAAGCTCTCTATTGAAACCCGAGTTCACGCAGCTATGCGTTTAGTTCAAATATGATGTCAATTTGTCACGTCAGGCAAAAGAAAGATCGTTTGTCCTATAAAAATCCAGTGGTAAATTGTGCTGCCAAATGAATTTGACCATGGACTCTACTATAGTGGAGCTTTTATTTCATAAATGTAACTTTGCTCTCAAGTAATTAGACAGAGAGGGACCTGGAGCTGCAGTCAGGTGAAATCTGAGGTCAAAATCACAACCCAAAATGGCCATATTTCAAAAAAGGATAACATTTACCTGCCCTCTTGCATAACTTTCATACCACTTCCAGTATATACTTAAGTGACCCATTTATCTAAATGAGCTGAAAAAAAATTGGCTTATCAAGATTTTTTAAGGGTTTTGGCAGAAGCTCTCCATGCCTCCATGTGGCCAAGCAAATTGGAATTTTTAGCATAATTCATGCTATAAACAGACCAAATTCTTGACATAAAGTCTTTATTTTGTATTTATTGGGTTAAAATGAAACATTAAAGCCAAATCAGCGTCATTACTCCAAAATACCTCGACTCATAGCTTACAAGTGCTCTACGAAGGCCTCTGATTAGTACCACAAGCACCCGGGTTTAGCAAAATAAAGATAGTTTTTCATCTCTGAAAACCTAGTACCCATCATGGAGCACAAATGATGATGTTCTCACCCAGGTATAACAATCTTTTTAAACATGCTTGAATTTTCTTTGATTTATATTTTTCAGGTCATATTTCCGTATATACTATACTCACAAACACGCAGTCTCCATATTTTCTCAGGCCAATTACTTCATGCAATATGACGTGAGATTAACGAAAACGACCATTAACAGAAGATCGATGATTAAACTTTACATAGCTTTGCTAGCCCCTATAAACACGAATGATGGCATCAGTAAAAGAGCAGGATGATACATACAAGGTGTAGTGAATGGCGTCCAGGTGACCTGTGATCCATCCGATTTCCCTGCTACGTCAAATCATCCGGCAGTAAATAAGAAACCCACAGTTAGGAGAGCTGGATAAAAAATATTTTGTGTTGCAGTTTCTTTGAAACATGCCATGCAATACCTCGAGATGCGATTGTTATTGTATGTACAGGCCCACCATATTGGACGTGAGGGTGAGAGGATTGGACTAAGTCGAGGAGTCACGCAACCTTCACTGAGTTCTGAGTAACGCGGGTTTGTTGACTATCACTTGTGACAATCACAGGAATTTGCTAACTGTAGAAGAGGTTCATAATACAACGCCCTACGATTAGCACTATTTATAATTTTAACTTGAAAAAGCTTGCACAATGACTGTAGTTGTCTGAGTTTCTGCTTTTGCAACATCTTTGCTAATCTTCCCTTGGCAGAGAGTTCGCGAAAGTTGAAATCTTCATACAAAAGCCAATTAAAAAACAACCAAACTATTTTTGAAACATGTGTCCTAAGCTCTTTTCATAAGAAATAGATCCAGGAGAATTTTTTTTGGAAGGGAAGTTCAGAGGACCGCTCTTAGCGAGAGTGGTGCTTAAAAAGCCATTTGCTACATTTGTGCGCGTGTACGAGCCCTCTCTGATACTTTGAATTACCTATACTTGTAGCTTTGGTAACGCCCGGTCTTCTACTCGCCCCAAACCCACCTGACAACCTTGTACTTGTGTTTTAACCAAGCAGTTAGGTCATTATCGCAAGACAGCAAAGGAGTCATTCCTGTTTCGTGCAGAGCCTATGACGCGGCACCGCACTGATCATTTACCCCTCCAANTTTGAACAACTGGACCCTGATCAATAAAGCACTAATTATTCTAAACCTTTGAATTCGTCAAGCAAGCATCGTAAACAGGTTGATAATGCATATAATGACGAGTGCAGTACGTACACATCACTTTTGGTTGACAGCCGTTCCACATGGCCGTAAAGAATCTCGGGTGCACTCCATTTAATTGGGATACATCCCTGGGTGAGTATTTAGAATAGTATAAGCATATGTCATTTAAAGACACTGGAAAGCAATATCTGAAATATATTCCATAAAGATTTATACCCTTTTTTCACCAAAGATGCAAGGAGTCGCTATAAATTCAAGAGCAACACAAGTGTTTCTACACATTTCTTAAGATACAAATTACGTGCTCCTTTTTCTTTACATCTCCTGTGTTACTCTACCCCTCTACATGTTTGAATTGGTATTCTTGACTTAAAAGAACATTTGTGAGAGCCTGCATTTGAAAGAAGCGCCTCCCGGTTAGTTCAATTGGTTGAGTGCCGGAATGTTGTGCGGTAGATCGAGGGTTCAAGCCCCGGCCGGACCAACACTCAGGGTCTTAAAAATATCTAAGGAGAATGTGCTACCTTTCTATAACATCAAGAGATGGATAGACATTCTAGTCTTCTCGGATAATGACGAATAAACTGTAGGTCCCGCCTCCTGCATCTGTTCATTAGTTAATTTGATTAGGCGGAGGACGTTAAAGAACCCAAACAGTCTGGCTTGTTTAGTGCGAATTAGGGATAGGGGGCATCTATTAGATTCGCCTTTATTTGATTGTAAACTGCTTAGCAGTCTGGTAAAGTCCCCCACACAGTGTTGTAATTAATTAAAATGTTTATTATTATTATGTTTATTATTATTATGTCTATTATTATTATGTTTATTATTATTATGTTTATTATTATGTTTATTATTATTATGTTAATTATTATTATTTGTTGTAGTTATTACTATTATTATTATCATTATTATTTGTCAAACACGATTTTCTTATTCCCTGCGTTTACTCCTTTGGTACAGTGTACATTTTTTTTTGTTTGTGTGAAAGGCTCGAAACGATCAGAATGATAAGGGAAACAGATTTAGCGGTAAAACGGTATAAAAGAAAGTAAGGTTCGTCAGGATAGTTCATGTTTTGGTTTGAGTTTCAAAATAGAGGCCTATTTGACGTCATTAATGGCAGACGCTCATTTTTCGTTTTAGTTTTTTCACATTTGAATCTTTCATACCAACAGTCTCAAAACAAATTTCTCGTCTATACCTCAGGTTTATAGGTTAAGGAAGCTAACCTCACAATATGGTATATGATGTATTTGATGACACTCAAATAAAAATCCCCTAAAAAAGTGATTAAAAAATTCTGAAAATTACCTTCTTGGCATTTCCTGTGCCGTATTTGAAATCCTGATAAGAGAGCCCAAAATCAGTCAACTTGCATACACGATGCTCATCGAGAAGGATGTTGCGAGCTGCAAGATCGCGATGAATTATCTGAAATTGAAAAAAGGATCCGATGGACCGGTAACGAAATAAATAAAGAAAAAGCATTTCCCATCAGAGAGGAAAAAGGAATAAAGGGGTATGTTTCCGACTGTTTTCGTGTGACTTAATGATTCCAATGTGCCTGATCATTTTAGTCGTGTGGTGATCGATTTGCGTAATGCAAATCAAGAGTTTGAGCACTTACCCCTCTAGACGCGAGAAATGTCATACCATGTGCGATCTGTTTAGCGAACAGCACCATGTCATATGTTTTCAAGTGGTCGACCCTTCCGGCCCCACGATGATAGTGGTCGAATACCCCCCTGGATTTTCTGAGGTAACCCAGCAAGTCACCTCTCCACAGGTACTCCATGATAAGTATTGGCTGAGCTAAATAAGTTAAAAAAGAGAGCGTTGGCAAATCAATATAAAGGAAACAGAGAAGACGTTCCAAATTCTAAATTGTTCTAAATTGTACATGCTTATTTTAATCATATGGTACTTTCTACCTGTTATAAATCAAAGT